AGTGGTTCAACAGTATCAGGTTCAAGATTTATGTGCCAGAATAAAGTTACAGCTCCCAGTCCAAAATCGGATGCTGGATTCTTCCTGTACCAATTACAAAGTTACTTCTATACTCCTTATTTGTTAATAAATAAATAACTAGATATCTTGCTAAATAACCTGCTAGCTACTTGCTTAATGACTTGCTTACTAGTTGCTTACTTGCACAGTAACTTGCTTACTAACTTGCTTACTTGCAAAGCTACAATTTTTAAAAGAACAGTCCTAATTAGTATATAAAATTTTAACACGTGGTAATATAATCTTTCTAAAATTCCTCACAAAATGCTTAAAATTTGAATACAACTAAATTAATATAAATGCATACCTTTTGCATGATGTTGGTGGCACAATTTTATCAGATAATTATGGAAAAATATGCTCTATACGTATAGCGTGGAATCTTGGCAGACAAAGGTTCGAGTTAAAATGTCGGAGAACTTCCTCCCTCTAATTTTATATGGTAACTGTATATCACTAATACCAGTTTTCATTTCCGCTCTGGCCTCGATTTATATTTAAAATTCCGCGGTAAACGCATATAGGCAACTGTGTTTACAAGTCAATGATATGTTAATAGTATATCCTAATTCCTACTTCTATGAATTAATATTTGACAACTTGTCTTAACCTAAAATTTTAACTAGCAATTGAACTCTACTAAATATTACAAAAGGTGTTTATACCCACGGTTATCTAATAGGACGTGTTCTGGACTGGTGCATTCAGAGTAAAACCTACTTAAGTGATATACAAAATATCGACATGAAGTTTTATCAACAGGTTGGTTATACAACAAATATTTCATATCTAACCATTCTCCTAACTACATATGTGGTATTAATATCATCTGAACCACCTCTGTGATCTGAACTTAACTTTTAGATTGGTGCAAGCATATAAGTAGACATGAAATTAAACAAAATGATGTAACAAACAAGTGTGTATGTTATAAAATGTTGTCTTTCTTCACTATAAAACAAATGCTTCACCATAACATAAACGTTGTCTTGCTTTACTATTAAAGCGATATCCATTAACTCCTGAGTTGCTATTCACATAAACCATTTTCGACACTTAAAAAAACTAATGTAAACACTATCGCAAAAACGTAAATACTAACATCGGATTTCAGCATCCGTACAACGCGCTAGGACTACAGTCGTCCAGCGATGTAAAAGTCGAAAATACTACATCAATAATTATTTTATCTGCAATTATAAGAATTTTACAAAAATTATTGTTACGATATTGACTTCATTTTTCATTAAGCATATATTGCGCAATATTATTTGGATAAATTGTGAATCACCCTGTATAATTAAAGTAAATATGAGAATTTCGGTACAGAATCGAAAGGGATATCACTTAGTATTACTAAATTTCACGGTTAGCTATGATGCAAACATATTTTTTCTAAATAAATTGGAACCGTAGATCTAAAAACAAATAGATAATTTTGTTTTGCTATCCATTGGTGTATATGTCTCGGTTATTACCTCAAAAATGAGACATAAAAAATATTTTATTCAGGACATGAAAACAAGTTCGCACAATTTGGCTATTAAATATGGCTAATAATGGGCGGATTAGTCATATTTTATTTTTCAGTATTTCTACGCTTCCAAAACTTTTGCAAAAATACGAGGGCATGCTGAAAAGTAATGCCTCCCAATTTTTATTCTGTTCTCATATCGGTTGATATGTCATGCATATTACTCGGTCGACTTTCCCGCTTCACTGACGCATGTTGCAACCCTATACCGCTAGAGGACTCCGAATTGTAGCGTGTAACATGGCGGTGTGTAACGTAACTATGTCGGTGCATGAGAGACAGCGTGTTGTAATTGAGTTTCTAACCGCAGAAAACGTGCCTCCAATTGAAATCCATAGAAGAATGAAAGCTGTGTACGGTGATGATTGTATCGACATCAATAATATGCGACGTTGGGTTGTTAGAAACAGAGGCGATTTGACATCTGTCAACAATTTCTGTTGCGTTTTGAACGTGAGGGTGGTGGGTTCCTTAACAACATTGTGACAGGTGATGAAAGCTGAGTTCACCGTTTTGACCCCAAAAGAGCACGAATGGAGTTCCGCCACAAAGGATTATTACCGACACCAAAAAAGTTCAAGAGCATGCCATCAGCAGGCAATTCCTTAGAAATAAATCAATAAAGGCAATTCCTTAGAAATAAATCAATAAAGATATGAAATAGTTAAGCTAGTTAAAATTTGTCTCGAGAATGTGCTCTATCTTCTAATAGTTTTTGAGGTACCTAGAACCCATCGAATTTTACTATCTCTCTGTAAAACATTCTCTTGTACTCTGGAAAGATATCCATATCCTGTATAATATTTATAGNGGATAACCTGTATCTTGATTTTTATTAGAAACATAAGACCAAAAATTATTAGGTTTTTCTTTTAGCTCTTGCTCAATTTTACGGACAAAATTTCTTCGTGCCTCAGAAATATCACGTTTTATTTTTGATCTGATCGCCTTAAATTGTTGATATACATTTACACTAGCAGTTCTTTTATATGTATTCCATAGCCTATACTTATTTTTAATATCTTTAATTATAGACGTCGAGTACCATCTCGGATATTTGGAATTACGAGGCTTAGTTTTCGGTACATTAGAATCCAAAATTGAATAAAGGTAATTATAAAATAGCTCACAGGCGTCATTTATGTCAGTGCAACTATCTAAAACTGACCAATCAGCTAAAAACAAATGCTCATAAAGTGATGGCAAATTAGCCTTGCAGTAATTATAAGAAAGAGTCTCATTAAGTAATAGATTATCTTTTATTTTATATTTAAATGAAATCTCAATGTCTAGAGCAGGATGGTGAGGATCTTCTGGCAAAAGTACATATTGGGATTTCACAACTTTACATACATTAGAACAAAGGACCAAGTCCAGGCAATAATTGTTAATATTGAAGATATTATTACATTGAGTTAGTGAATAAAATTCACATAAATACTTGATAACATCAGCTTTTTGACTGTTTACATTTAAAACGAAATTTGGAACATTGAAGTCCCCAACTATAAGAATGTCTGGTCCATAATTGCATTCTAAAGATTCCAAGGCCTCACAGAAAGAATTGTATAAATTTACGTGTAGATTTGGAGGAATGTATACAACAAATATATTAAGCTGCTTAACATTTAATGTAATTTTAACACCCACTATGTCTATTTCAGGAATGTTATCAAAAAGAGTATTTTTTAAATTCAGTACTGATACATTTAAGTGCGAATTCACTGCCAATAAAACCCCACCACCTCTTTTAGTAGTACCTGCAAAATTACGATCTTTACGAAAAACTGTAAAATGACCATCAAATAATTCGCTATTTAGCACGCCAGAATTCAGCCAGGTTTCCGTCAGAGCGTAAATATTAAATTCAGTTAGGCCGCCCGCTACTGATTCAAACAATTCAGATGTTTTTGTGTTAAGACCTCGGACATTTTGATAGTACATTGTCAGGTTAAATTTATTCACAGTCGTACTTGTACTGGATTGTTCGAATAAGGAAATATTAGAAATTAATTGCTATTTTGGATTAATGATGTCCTTCTTAAAATCCTCCAATCTATGCTTGTACACATAACATTTCACTCTGTCCCAGGTGGAATGATTTACGTCAATATCAAGATTTAACTTACTGTTAGCATTTATACAATTAATACATTTTAATGGAGCATTTGAACTACCGTCTTGAATTTTATGATTTCCAGCACATTTTGGACATATATAACTACTTGTACAATTTTTGGCTATATGATTGAACCCGCAACACCTATAACAACATTTTACCTCCAGACCATCATACACAGAACAACTATCATAACCGATAAATAATTGACCAGTATTCATAATTTTAGTGTAAGAGTTAGCATCTAACTGTATTAAAGCCTGAAAAATATTTGCCTTATTCTTTAAAGGTTTTACACTTACAACTTTTAAGTCACAGGTTTCATCAAGTAAACTTTTATTCTGAGTTTTCATAAACTGTATTAGCATCAAAGGATCCAATTTCTCAGTCATTCCCACGACTTTTATTCTTGGATGCAGTTTAGTTATCCTTAATGTCATATTTGTCTGACATTTTTGTTTCAGCAATTTCTCTAAACCTCTTCACATGATCATTTGTTGGGCAGCTGATAATAAGGCCACCATT